CTGAACTCGCTAACCGTTGTGAGGCCTGATGAGCATTCCACGAAGAACCAGACCCTTTCCCTTGAACCCTCCCATACCGCACCCGGGTGCGCTTTGTGTTTTCCTACAAAAGTGAACAAATTACCCGCCCTACATGCAAAACTCGCTAATTGCTAGGCGCAGAACTCGCTACCCCCGGTGAGGCTTGATGTGCATTCTACGAAGAACCAGGCCCTTTCCCTTGAACCCTCCCATACGGCACCCGGGTGCGCTTTGTATTTTCTTACACATTACCCTACATGCGCAGAAGTCGCTGACCCTTGTGAGGCCCGATGAGCATTCCACGAAGAGCCAGACCCCTTCCCGTGAACTCTCTCATACTGCACCCGGGTGCGCTTTGTGTCTTCGCTGGAGGAGGTGTGTCTGGAGGGAGATGGCTGGAGAGGTCTGGGCAGGGGTTGTTGGGGCGTGGTGTGGCAGGGTGTGGTCGGAGGGCTGAAGGAGGGCGCATGGAGGGGCGTGGCTGGAGTGGCTGGAGGAGGGGTCGTGGGGGCGTGGCTTGGCTGGAGGGCTGTGAGGTGGCTGGAGAAAAGTGTGGGGCGAGGAGGGTGTGGGTGGAACGGGTCGTGGGGCGTGGCTGGAGGGTTGGGGGGTGGTTGGAGGGATCCAGCTCTTTAATTCTGGGTGTCTTAATCGTGGGCGGCCGGACGCCATGCTTTGCGGAGGTAGTATAATATACCTGTTCGGTTGTTGACGTTTTCGGATGTTTAAAGAGCATCGCGGTAAGTTGTTCGGCACCTAAATCTGAGTTATCCTGACCAGAAACCATGTCAGGTAAGGCTCCATATTGCAGTAATTTATCCCGACCTCCTCCACAGCAGCTTGCTGTAAAATCCGAGCGTCCAATTTACCACTACGCTCCAGGATGTAATTTCGGCGACTTAACCTCAAACCCTATGTACTCTGTAGATAACCAACTAAATGGGACACTGAAGAGTTTCCTTAGATGAAGATCCTTAACAATAACCACAGGTGTAACTCTTATGTATTCCCAGCTTCCATTTTATTTTCCATTTTTCCACTTGATTCTCCATTATTCGGTTGTATCCGTAAAGCCCGTGATCCTGAATTCAGCAACAGCAGGTCATTAGCTTAGGCTTCTGGGCAACATAATCTATTTATATAACCCTATGTAACCCCTATGCAGCCTTTTTGGTACAGCCCAGGATGTAGCTGTTGTGGAGGGGGTGATGGGACTCCACGACGGCTTGGATGGTTGCAGCGATGTGGGCAGTACCGCCGAGGTGGCCAAGTGGCTCCAAGCGCCGGTTGCTGGATTGCTGCCTAAGGAACTTACATGAAGTTCCCGTGATACTAGATCCCTTTAAAAGGGGCTATAGGATGCTATAGGTTGAATACTTCTCCCACTAAAAGCTGGATACTATTTATACAAAGATATATTAGCCCTGAATCTGATCCTATTTTAGACAGTTAATGAGTGGGGGCAAGACCCAATGTTATAGGGGTTGTAGGCTTTATGTAGGGTTTGTGGTACATTGAGTGGAGAACGAAATGGAATGTACTCTTTAAGGTTTAGGGTTCCCCCGCTATGGATCTATCGGAACCCTAAACCCTAAACCCTGTGCTGGTTGCTGCCGTGCCTCTGCAGCTACACCCTAAAACCCCAAATCCCACCATACTATGATCTATAGTCTAAACTCCTTAAAGGGGTTAATTAGGGGATTAGACAGGGAGTATTATAAGGCTCATTAAGGGGGATACTAGGAGTTTAGACTATAGCTCCTACACATGCCGTATATCCCAGCAAAAAACAAAGGGCTTAAAGTCCTTAACGGCAACCCAGCCAGCTTAAGCCCTAACGCGTGAACCCCAAATCCTACACCCTCAACCTCAAATCCGAAACCTTAAAGCCCTAAACTTTAACTCAAGTTCCCCAACAGCAGCCCAGGTTCTTTTGGTGGTGGATGCTTGGTGCCTTTCTCGCAGTGCTGCTGCCATGGTGTTAGGCTACACCGTCTTTGACCCTGAGGTTTCTTGGGTTTTGAGCTGTAGAAGCTTAGGGTTTAGGCTGTGGGTTTGGGGTTTAGGTTCGGGTTTTAGGTTTTAGGCTGTAGAGTTTTAGGGTTCAGGGTTCAAGATTGGGGTTCAGTGTATTTACGCTGTAGATTTTTAAGGTTTAGGCTTGGGGTTTAGGCTGTAGAGGTTTAGGGTTTAGGCTTTAGGGAAGTGTTGGGTATGGGGCTTCGTGGGAGTTAGCGGGATGTTGCGGGCTTTAGAGTTTTGGGTCTAGGGTTTTGGGATTTGGCGTAAGAAAAACGGAGTTTGGGCTACGCCTTCCTTGACCCTGAGTTTGACGGTGCTAGGGTTTAGGGTATATGGGGCAAGATTAGGGTTTTAGGGTTTAGGGTTTCGAGCCTAAATCCTGAACCCCAAATTCTGGGGTGTAGGGCTACACTGTCTTGGACCCCAAGGTTGCGGTGAAGGGTGTGGTGTTCAACCGTGTGGCGGGTGACTGGATTGCTGCTATGGAATTTGGAGAGACTAGGGTTTAAGCTACCATTGTAAGGAAACAGTGTTGTCTACCAATAGGGGTGCCTAAATGTAGACCCCAATATGCTATATCCCTCTAAGGAAACAGGGTTATGTATTACGTATCCATATCATGGTAACTTTGAACCCTAAACCCTAAACCCCGAACCTTAAACCCTAATTCTTCGACCCCAAGCCCTAAACAGCAAGCCAGGTGATTCTCATGCAGAGTGGCTGCAGGAGGCGATGCGGTCTACCACAGCTGTATCACACTTGTCCGTTTTGGGCTGTTTCTTGCTGATTCTTAAGGATTCCTAGTAGGGAATGAGGGAAGATATTTATGGAGATTGTACAGGGATTACTTTCACTCATTCCTTCCTAAGAACCAGTAAGTAGTAGGGAATGCAAAACGCAACGGAAGCTACTATGCAGGATTTAGTGCTTGGGGTTTAGGAAATCAAGTATTTAATGGACCAGGAAATCGAAACTATCATATTAGGGTTATATGGGGCTGCTACAGGAATCTGTGGCGCTATTCCCTAGTAGGCCCCTACTACCAGCTGGTAAGGTTTGCCAAAGGATGCAAATGTTCATGTCACAGAGCGACATCTGGGATTGCACATGCCGGGTGAGGGTGACGCGCCTCACTTGGAGGCGCTGGGAACGCTTGTGGCCAACAACATGGACACAGGGCTCGGTTTGAACATTCTCTTTAATTTCACTATTGTCAATCTAGACCCTATAGCCTACACCCTGAGCCCTAAAGCCTAAACCCTAAACCTAAAGCCTAAACCCTAAACCCCAAAGCCTAAACCCTAAAGCCTAGGACATTGACACTCTCCTCTGCATGGCGAAGGAGAGCCCGCCCGAGACGTTTGCGCCATTGCATCCAGAAAGGTGGTTCTTTCCCCAAAGTATGGTACCCCCCCCATAGCACCCTTGATATGTTCTGATTATTACAATCATCATTATAGGGACTGCCCAAAAAATCCTAGGTCCTAAATCTTAAGGCCTAAATCCCTATGGTACCCCTAAACCCTATAAACCCTAAACCCTAATTTTGGGAAATCCCTAGGTGTCTGCAGCCCAGCCGAGAACACCCCCCAGTGCGCATTGGAATTGCAAAAGACGAGGCCTTCTGCTTCTACTACGAGGACCGAGGTAGAAAAAGAGGAAACCCAACATATATGCCATAATCTAAACTCCTTGAAGGGGGATTATATAGGGGACTACTACAGGGCTTATGAAGGGGGATACTAGGAGTTTAGACTACAGCTCACGTATGCAGGTAGTATCCTAAAGTCTGTCAGAATCTTTTCTATATGTATTATCCTACAGTCGCTTGTAATAAGAACCCCCTAAGCTCTCAGCCCTTTACCTTCTTCGCAAAACCATACACCCTAACCCTGGACCCTGAACTAAAACCTCAACCCTAAAGCTTTAAATCCTGAACCCTGAACCCTAAGCCCTTACAAGGACAACCTTCGGCTGCTGGAAGCAGCTGGCGCAGAGCTGGTGCCGTTCTCTCCGCTCACCGACCCCAAGTTGCCGGAGGACTTGTTGCTATGACTACTATTAGGATAGGGTTTAGGATTTAGGATTCAGGGTTCAGGATTTTTGGGTTGAGGGTTTAGGGGCCTGTTGCTATAAGCATTACCGCTGTTTAGGGGTATTAGGTCCCTTTAAAAGGGTATAGTTTTTTTGTTGACGGTTGTGATGGAGGAAATGAAATCTTGCACCAGTCTATTTAACCCCAACGATTACTAATTACTTTGGGGATCCTAAGTGGTGCAAGCTTTCCTCCTTCCACCATATGTCTTTTTCTAATGCGCCATTTGACTGATACAACAGCAGTAGGTATCATTAATTTTTTTTTTTCGGATGAGTATTGCTACATGAAGTTTATTGCTATAGTAAGAATGATTCTTCTTCCTCTTCCTCCTCCTCCTCCTCCTACTACTACTACTACTACTAGTACCAGTACTAGTACTGGTACTAGTACTAGTACCAGT